TTTTATTGGATGCACACTATGTTTTGATTTATAGGAAACTTTTTTTGTACAATGATTTTTAACTGTTGTGTTTTTTTATTTTTTATTTATTTTTTTAATTAAAAAAAATTTTTTAAATGTTTATTTATTTCTGAGGCAGAGAGAGATAGAGAGCATGAGTGGGGGAGGGTCAGAGAGAGAGGGAGACACAGAATCAGAAGCAGGCTCCAGGCTCTGAGCTGGCAGCACAGAGCCTGACGCGGGGCTCAAACTCACAGACCGTGAGATCATGACCTGAGCTGAAGTCAGAGGCTTAACCGACTGAGCCACCCAGGCGCCCCATGTTTTTTTTTTAAACCAGTGGTGGACAAAGATGTTACTCAAACACTTAAAACACACAAATAGGCCATTTTTAAATGGTCTCCTTTTCAAAAAATTTATCTTGAGATAAAAGTACACTTTACTTGCTCTTTATTCAAACATTTGTCTTTACAATTCTCAATAGACGTTTTTCTACAAAGCTTTTTTGAACATAAATTTTAATAGATAAAATCCCATTTCACCGTTGACTTATATCACAAAAGCACCCAATCGTCTACCCAGAAAGGAAGCCTTAGTTAAATAGACAATATTTAGAAAGCTTTCAGATAGGCTTTAGTCCCATGGGAATTGGAAGGTTAGAGTTTTCCTGATTTGCTCTCCATGATGAAATTTGCTGTAATCTAGCTAATACTGCACTTTGAGACAATGTAATTAACTTTGGATTTTGTTAATATTTTGGTTTCATTAATCTGTACAGAAGAGATTTCCAACACTTTTTTTTTTTTTTTGTACAGGAGACTTACCTTGGATTCTCTCCAAAGTGTTGTAGAGCAGATTTGTGTTTGGTTTAGGAATCACTACTCGGGGAGTCTTCGCTATAAAGCATGGTACGGGAAGTTCTTGTCACCTTTGCTGCGGCCATTTTATTTGTTTTCCCAAAAGTCATGGACTGTGGTTTAGGGCTACAAAGGAAGTCAGGGAAGACAGCAGTGTATTAGACATGGTCACATTCATCCCTTAGTTCACATTCTGTAAAAAGTAATAAGACAAATACAGGAATAATTCTAAAACTATAATGTTAATGATCACTATCACAAGAGAGATGTGCATTAAGGGAGAAACAATTTCTTTCCTAGCTGAATAATGTCAGAGGCTTCCTTTTAACTGATTTCACATTTGACTGGATTGGAAACTGAGTAGCCAACTATCAGCCACTGTGGTTATAGCCAGAGAAATTAGATGGAATGGAGGGAAGGACAAAAAAAGAAAGAAAGAAACAAAGAAACAAAGAAAGAAAGCAAAAAGGAAAAGAAAGAAAAAAAAGGAAAAGAAATCTTTGTGGCATGTTGACTTTGAAGTGTTAGAAAACCATTTATGCTGCTGGAAATATGCCAGAAGTCATCCACAGTGTGATAAAATTTGAAGCCAATGTGATAATTGACTTTACCTAGGGAAAGAGGATAGAGTGTGGGAACAAGGACAGAGCAGTGTTTCTCACAGAGTAGTCCCCAGACCAGCAGAAGGATCACACGAATGAAAGCTTGTTAGAGAAGCCAGTTTTCAAGTCCCGTCCCAGACCCACTGAATCAGACACTTGGGATGTAGCCCAGCAATCTGTGTTTTGATCAGCTCTCGCAAGGATTCTGTGCACACTAGACTTGGAGAGTCACTGAGATAGAGAAGAAAACTGGAATAGGCTGACGACTCCAGCTAAGATTTCTAAGGCTGAAGTTTTTATTTATAAGGCTCGAAGTTGGCAAGGATCCGCGAGAGCCAAACATCCACAGAAGCCACAGGCAGAGGAAATTTCGAGAATCAGATAGTCAGTATTGTCAAATGCTATAGATGTTTAGTTCTAGTCGGGGCATTTGTGCTACTTCACACAGTTTTGACCTTGTACAAGCCTCTTAACTTTTCTGAGCCTCAATGTGCTCATCTGTAAAATGGATCTGGAATCGTGCTCTTCCAAACTTCGTAAGGTTTTTGAGTGAATCAACTTAGATATTAGGTGTCAATTAGGAAAGCAAACAAAGATTCATGAAGTAACTAATCTTTTGGTACCCATAGCCATTAAGTTTGGCCACAGTTCTAAAACTTAACCTCAGTGCTAAAGCTCTCAAGATTGGTCATTTTGCTACGAATGCTCCTATATACTGGCACGAGTTAAGTGAAGGTAGAGCAGATACTGGAGGAAAACATAACTTGCCTACATATCAAAAACGTATGAGTCCTAAAAGACTGGCATGGGTGGTGGAGATGCCTTGTTTCCTGGATGTGCATTTTCATATCCTCCCCCTTGGAAGTATGACAGTTGGGATGGCTGAATCAACACTGTGACTGTTGATGAACACTGAAAGCACAGATGGGATTTGAGTCGTGTTTCTGAGAAGGCAACAGAGCCCATACTGATGAAGAATTTTGTGGGTTTTGTAAGAATTATGAAAAGGGTGACAAATATCACTTATTTGGATTTACCAGAGAAACTGAGGTATACCGTAGTAATGCTTAAGGTGAGCACTAAACACAGACAATGGAGTTTACCACCTATATAATATTATTTGTTAGGCATTTAAATTTCCCATTGCTCCAAATTTTGCTCCCTGACAATCTTCCAGCATACTTGTAATTTTTACTATTTAGTTGCTCCTTCAGAGCCATCTCATAAATGCTTACTTAAATAATGGAACAAATGAGAGACTGAAGACCTATATTTACCTAAATTGAATATATGCTTTATCTAAAAAGGGTAGCAGATTATTAGCTACAGCATTACCTAGAATATATGTGTACGACTTAATCCATTATTAACTACTAGCTTAATGCAGTAAGCATTTACTGATGTCTGATCCAGTAGGGAGAGGTTTTATATAGTGAGAAGGTAAGAAAAGGCCTGGACTTTAGAGGAGTGCCCTTCACATCTAGGATATGAGGGAAAGTGGGAGAAATAATACGGAACTAACCTGGATGCTCTATGAGTTCTGAAATATTGAAAGGAAGTGAATGAGGAAAGAAGGAAAGCTATATGCAAAATTTGCATACTTCACAATACATCCTGTAAGAAATCTCATGGCCCTATCTGGTTCCTTCTCTGCAGAGAGATGAATTAAATGAACAAATACACAACAAACAGCAAAAGTCAAACAATTCAAAATAAAGTACAACAAAATCACAAAGTACAACAAAATTGAAGGAGACCCTATTCATAAAACATAGCAACATTGTTTATAAGGCCATTCCTTCAATCCTAAATTCTCCTGCATTCTATAACTGTTCCAGACTCTTTCCCATGAATCTACATAGTTTTTCCCCAGCACTCCCCACTGGGTAGTTTGACTTAACCTCTCAGGCTAAATGCTCCCCAGTTTGCAAGAAGTTTCTTCCTTGGACAGATTGGGGTGATAGAAGATTGGAGAAATAGGGGTGACGAATTTTCAGTCTCCCTTTAATAAAGCTTGTCCTGATCACTTCAAACTCTCCCTTGGATCAGTTCATGTGATGCTTCTTTAGGGAAAAGGGGGTGGAGAGGTTTGACTAATTTCCGTAGCCTCAGAACCAAAAAGTAAATCCCGAGGTTCAAATTCAAACTCTGAAGTATCCTTCCTTCTCTCCTGTTTTCATTTTGCTTTTATGCTATTCAGAGCAACAATGACTTCATACACTAAGACTGGTAATACAGTGTGATAGTGCTGTGTGATATGTATTAGTCAAAGGCTACTCCAGCTCTGAGGAGGGAAGAATTTATATTGCCTGTGGAGTAAGGGAGGCTTACTGGTGTCCCTGAAACTGCATTTTGAAGATGTGGAAGTTCATGCAATACTCATGGAATAATATCTCTTCCAAGATGAAGCATGGAGTGAGTGAAGAAGAGCGGTAGAAAATGCAGGCCAAAGTCATACTATATTACAAAGGGCCTGAAGTTCCTTGCTAAGAAAACTGGAGTCACTACTGTAGGCAAAGAACAAAGCCAACCAAGAGAATCTCATTGCTTATGCTTTTTGATTCAGCAGTGTGGAAGACAGACTTGAGAACCACCATTCGGGTTCTGTTTGTTTTATCATATTTGACCCCATGGGCCTATTATTAGAGCAGCTGAAAGGCAGAGCTGGTATTTCTCTTCTGAAGACCACTCAGGGGTGACTTCAGCATGTGGAAAGATAACAAAGGATTCAACTACGAACGTTTCGGTGGCACTAGAGGCAGGGGCAGATGGAAAGATTTCAGGGCTAGCCTGGGAAATGTTACTCCGTGTCACCTGTATTTTATACTGTTATGGCATCTCAAATAGTACTCGGTAGGTGAGGCTTTTTCTCGGACTCACCTGGCAAATGGCACGTGGGAGCTGTTTCCTAAGCAACCGTCGTACTTAAGGCACGTTCATTTGTTTGCCCATTAAACTGCCAGCTTCTTTCTTTAAGACAGGGATTGTTATTTTTTTCATCGCTGTTGTCTTCAAACCTTCGAATGACCTGCAAAAATGTGCGCCGGAGGGTTGCGGAGTGATTGGAAAATGGACATTCATAAACGGCTGAAGATTACAGGCTTTCTGGCAGTAAAAGTACTAGCATTAAATGTTCAGTGATAGCAAGGTACTACAGTGATTGCCACTCAACCTACCCTTTCGTGGCGGTTTATTTATTTCTAAAAATCTCTATCAAGCCGGTAAACTCCCCATCCTACAAATAGCCAGAGTACAAGAAACTGTAGTACTAGCTTCAAATTTTTTTTTCTTTTTGGTTAGCTGACTTTATAGAGCGGTTATATGCTTGGGAAGGTAAGAAGACGTTGGCCAAGACCCCAAACGTGGGAGGTATGGGTTTCGACATCATTTGCTGATGACTACAGACAGGGTTACGCGCCGGAGTCCCGGTTGCAAACCAGAGTGCCGGAACCAAACCGCCGACACTCGAATTTCCGCCCGGACGCGCTAGCGTGTTACGACGCATCGACTGCTTTTGCCTGGAGGAGGCCTATCAAGGGAGGACCGAGTATCGGGAGGCCAAGGAAAGGAGGCGAGCGAAGGACTTCCTCGTGGGGAGGGAGCTGGAGCTGCCGAGATTCGGGAGGCCGCGCTGGGCCTGTTGAGCTAGACGTCCAAGCGCGTCGGAGAGTTCAGTCATGTCTACACAAGCGGTGATGCGCGCCCTGCGCAAGAACAAGACCCTTCGCTACGGAGTCCCCATGCTGGTGAGCGCAGGGAGGAAAACGTGTGGGGCGGCATTCCGGAAGGGGTGGGTCCGGATTCCGAAAGGGGTGGAGCCTCGAGGTGGGCAGGATCCTGGCTGCGAGGGTCTGTGATGCGGCCGTCGGGGAGCAGCAACCTGGGCTAGGAAGAGGCTTCTAGGCAGTTTTAGACTTCTGCCCCCGCCGGTAGTGGGATCTTTTACTCTCCCTAAGAGTTACCAGGATGTGCTTCAGAGAGCGAGGTCAGAACCAGCTTTTATTCCAGCACTGGGTGATTACTAAACTTGCCTTTTTATTTATTTATTTATTAAAAAAAATTTTTTTTTCAACGTTTATTTATTTTTGGGACAGAGAGAGACAGAGCATGAACGGGGGAGGGGCAGAGAGAGAGGGAGACACAGAATCCGAAGCAGGCTCCAGGCTCTGAGCCATCAGCCCAGAGCCTGACGCGGGGCTCGAACTCACGGACCGCGAGATCGTGACCTGGCTGAAGTCGGACGCTTAACCGACTGCGCCACCCAGGCGCCCCTAAACTTGCCTTTTTAACCTGTTGCTACCCTTTGACGATGCTGTGGATCGTCGAAATAGATGTATTTACTTTAACTGTACAATTTCGGGCATCTCTATATTTCAGCTTCCTGGTTTGTGAACTGGTTTAATTCTTCCCGGGTTGTTGTTAGGAGTTCAGTAAAACCTTGTGAATTGAGTGGTTAGCACCGTGCCTGGCACACTGTAACAGCTTTCAAAAGGTCGCTAAATTATAATTGATAATTTTAAGGCACATTGAAAGTAGTTGTGGTGTTTATATGTTTGTCTACAGCCCTACACTGAGTTCCCCGAAGATCTCATTCATCTATGAAGATACAGGTTGAGGTTGACATAACACTAACCAGAGTTGGAATCCAGCCCAACAACCCCTCTTACTTGCTGACCCACCTTGGCAAGTTATTTTGCTTCAGCAAGTCTTGATGTCATAGTAAATGAAACAATTTCAGTACAGCATGTGGACAAAAGCCACTTTGTTTTAAATACATAATAGTTTATTACTTTGGAATGAATAGGTGTTGGTGTAGGTGAAGATACCAGCTTTGTGCATTTTAGCAGAACAAAAGGAGAGAAGTGAACTTAAAAAAAGTTTAAAGAAAACCGCCTTAAAAGGTAGTGTAGTAATTTTATTTGTGTAGATCACAGGGCATGTGTAAAAACCATCCTCTCTATAGATTCCTCTGCCCCAAAAAGGAGATCCATTCAGAAGCATTGTGATTGTGGCCACTAACCTGAGGTCACCTGCATGTGCCAGTGAATGCCAGTATGATTTTGTTTCTTATTTTTCAAAATCACCAAAGCCGGATCTTAAAACCACTAGTGTTGAGGTACCTTCTAGATACTTAGAGGTTTCCTGTTTTGTTTTATTTCTTGGAATGGAAAGTACCATAGTAGCCTTTCCCCCAAACATGTTACTCTATATTTGTCTCTATGTCTATACTGGACCTAGAGGACCATGTTTCAAAATATGAATCCTAAACATATAAATAATACTGAAGAGGAACATGTTGAATTCGGTGCTGTGAAACCCAGCACTACTGGAAAGACCTCAAAAGACATCCTTTTCATCAAGTATCAGTCAAATATGCCGTAATTACTATACTACATTTATCATCAAGCTGAAATTATTTCCTTTCTTGGATAAGTATTAATGCTTCCTAGGATCTTTAATCAACAACATACGGAAGAGGACTTGGAATACCAGGTGTATGTTAATGCTACTTTCCTTCCCTTCTTGTCCAAACCAGGTCGAGTGAAGGTATGGGGTACTGATTCTGGTATTTGGTAATGGGCTAAAATGTTTTCTTGTAATGGTATATACTGCACTTACTCTGAACAGATGAATGGCAGCTCACCAGGAAAAATAATCTATCGGATTTCATATAAGCAGTCACTGTTGGCATTTAGATAAATAATCTATAGCTAGACTGAATTTTGCGCTTCTATTTTGTTTCATTGTTTCCTTTCTTTGTTTTAGGTGCTGATTGTTGGAGGTTCTTTTGGTCTTCGTGAGTTTTCACAAATCCGCTACGATGCTGTGAAAATTAAAGTAAGGACTGTAATTGGTGTTCAGCATGTGTCTGTGTATATGTATGTTCTGGTTTACATGTGTATATGCAGTGTTAAACAGTCTGAGTTTTGTCTTGCTTTTCAAGGTGGCCATATAATCTTTGGACTTTTCCTTATTCTGTAAGACAACATGAGTGATGATCTGGAAATGAATCATGAAATGTAAAGAATTTAGTAATCTTCTTCATCATTGGAAAATTTACAATACTGTATTCTCCAATAAAATGAACTCTGGTGTAGTTGTTTTTAGGATTTAGGAGGGACTGAAGAATGTGGGACAGTTTCACTCCCATTTTATTACTCCATTTCATATTAATACCAGTAATTTTATAAATTATATGGATATATAAACTGATATACTAACAGTAAAAGAAAATTATTTTCATCATAAATAATAAATTATATATGTGTGTGTATATATATATGCATATATATATGCATATATGCATATATATATGCATATATATATATATATATGAAATTTACAGTTGAGGAAGCTGAGGTTCAGAGAACTTAAGTAACTTGCCTAAGGTTACATGACTATTTCGAGGTAGTGTTAGGATTCTCACCTTCTGTGATTACACGGTTACTTAAAAATTCAAGCCAAGTGTTACATAAGAACCCTGGTTAATTCTTTCAGAAGTATGTAGTTTTTGTTTGTGGCCATTTGTGATATTTGAGTTTTTTCCAAGTTATTTATATATGATAAATATATATAACATATTTAATATTCATATTATATATAAATATAAATATATATGTGTGATGAAATAGATATATGATTTACTACCAATATTACTGAGGTCTGCTAATGAAATATATATAATATATAATATTAATTAATAATTATCGATAGGAAAATAAAGAGTAAAGGCCTATTTAGTTTTCTCAGTTAATTTTATGATTTAAGAGAAATGCCAATTCCAACTAGTCTTAAAGATATTAGATATTAGAGTAAATATTAAATTTAAAAAGAATGTGTGATTTCTGTGGGGTAATAGAGCAATTATCAACTGTATTAAAAAGTGTCTGTTAGCATCCTACTTATTTTATTAAGGAATTTTTTTCCCTTTCCCTTTAAGATGAAAGTTATAATAATCTGACTTTTGGAAGTGGGATGACTATACATATTTGAAAAATAATTGAATATTTGTTATATGTATTTATCATGTGGCAGATCCTATAGATAAAGATTCAAGAAATTAGTTCTTACAAAGCTTGTGGCATAATTTAGGCTGGAAGACATCCAGTATAAAAATGTAGTCAGGGGTGCCTGGGTTGCTCAGTTGGTTAAGCGGCCGACTTCGGCTTGGGTCACGATCTCGCGGTGCGTGAGTTCGAGCCCCGCGTCGGGCTCTGTGCTGACAGCTCAGAGCCTGGAGCCTGTTTCGGATTCTGTGTCTCCCTCTCTCTGACCCTCCCCCGTTCATGCTCTGTCTCTCTCTGTCTCAAAAATAAATAAACGTTAAAAAAAAAATTAAAAAAAAAATGTAGTCAAACAAATTACATCATTGCCCAGTAAAATGCTATATTAGAATTTTGCATAAAACATTACTAGAGACATACAATTTAGACTTGGGAAAGGGGTATCACAGAAGGTTTGCTAGAGGCATTAACCTTTGAATTACGACCCTAAGAATGAGTAAGTGTTGGGTCACCTGGGCAGCTCAGTCTGACTCTTGATTTCAGCCCAGGTCATGATCTCACAGTTTCTCACAGATCTCATAGATCTCAGTGTTTGTGGGTTGGAGCCCCATGTGGGGCTCCACATGCTGACAGAATAGAGCCTGTTTGGGATTCTCTCTTTCCCTCTCTTTCTTCCCTTCCCTTGAGCACATGTGTGTGCTCTCTCTCTCTCAAAATAAACTTAAAAAAAAATTGGATGAGTGTTAGCTAAATGCTGAAAATGATATTCTATGACACAGGAGGAGTATTGGGCATATCGTCAGATGTTCATTTTAGAAATCCCTGTGGCCATGGATGGGACAAGATGGATGGGGATTGAGCAAGGTGGAAGGGGAGAGATGAGACCTGTTAGGGTGCTTTGGCATTAGTACACATGGACAGTAATGAAACTTGAAATAAAATATTTGCAATGAAGTTAGAAATAAATGGGTTCCAGAAAAAAAAATTTTAGCAGCTAATTGATAGCATTTGATGACTAATGTGATGTATATAATATAAAAAAAATGAATAAGTCTTGCACAGCTTGAGGTTTTGGTTTTGTGGACTGGATAAATGGTGATGCCATTCACCGAGTTAAGGAGAGAGAATGAGAGAGATTGGATTAATAGGAGAAGTTTAGAAGATGGGCTTAAAGTAAAGAGAAGAAAGGTGAAATAGAATGAGGTTCATTGCAATTGAGAGGACAAGGTTGGTTGACGAGAACAAGGTTGAGAGGATGCGGTTGGTCAAGGTCTATGGGAGGAGGCTGAGTGGACAGAGTTCAAGTGAGAAGGATCAGAGGACAAGACCTGAGATTGAGAAGTCCAGGTTGGTTGATGTTCAGAAGTCAAACTCAGATGAAGTCAAGAGTCAGTGTTTGGGTGAGATTGAGTTCAGATAAGATAAAGAGGATAAGGTGGACGGAATCTGAGAGGGATTAACAGGATGATTCATTGAGGTTAACTGGGGTTATTAGGGTTGAGAGACCAAGAGCAAGGGGGAGTCAAAAGGACATAATTGCTGAGATTAAGGGGGGGGATCAAGTCTGAGGTTGAGAGTACAAATGTCGTTGAGAAAGACTAGGATAAGTTCAGCTGAGAAGTGTTGAGAAGGGTGGAGAAAGACAGTATTGATTTGGAGTGACTGGCCATCTTAGTTTGCCTGGAAATGTCCTGATTTTAGTACTGAAAGTCTGGCATCCCAGAACACAGAAATTCCTGCTTTTCAGTCATTGGTAAGGAAAGTACAGAATCCAAGAGGTGGGCTAAAAGAATGAACTGAAAGCACTAGCTTTCAATTCTAGTGTGAAATACATAGGGCATAGTTTATGCCATTCTTTTGTTTTTTTTAAGGTTACTTATTTATTTTGAGAGAGACCGAGCGCAAATGGGGGAGGGGCAGAGAGAAAGGGGAATAGAGGATCTGAAGTGGGATCCGAAATGGGCTCTGTGCTGACACCAGGGAGCTCAGTGTAGAGAACTGGATGCAGAGAGCGGAACGCAGAGAGCCAGACGCAGAGAACCCAGACTCACGAACTGTGAGATTTTGACCTGAGCCACCCAGACACCCCTTATCTACCTTATCGCCATTCTTAGTGGTGGTGGTTCTCCTGACTCTTAATACTAACAACCATGGAACTACAATAATGGACCATCCATTGTTGCATCGCTCCAAGTAATATGACCTAAGTGTGCATATAAGTGCATTATAATCCTGAATATTAAGTCTTTCTTTTTCCTTTGAAATAGAGCTAGTTTAATTCTTAACATTGTTCATGTTGTGATCATGTTTTCTAAGATTTAGATAATGAGAATGAGAACAATTACAATACCAATGCCAGCATGGTCCAAACATCACTGAAAGAGAAAGCCAAATGACTGTATTATTTTAATGTTTATTTATTTTTGAGAGAGAGAGCACAAGTTGGGGAGGGGCAGAGAGAGAAGGAGACACAGAATCCGAAGCAGGCTCCAGGCTCTGAGCTGTCAGCACAAAGCCTGACATAGGGCTTGAACTCCACTGAACACAAGATCATGACCTGAGCTGAAGTCAGACACTCAGTCATACTAAGCCACCCAGGCGCCCCTATTCTTAATATTCTAACACTTTACTATTACTCAATTAAGAATAGGCTGTTTTTGTTTTGTTGTGGTTATTTTTTCTTGTGTTGTTTCAGGCTGAGGACTCATGCTTTTCTAAATATTACTCAGTTAATTACTGGTCAGTTATTTAATTATATCCCTTCCTCCATTCTCTCTGTTCTCTAATTCTGAAATCCCTAACAGAACTATATTGGGGCTTTTAGATGTAGCTTTCATCATAGGCCTTTTCTTTCCTTCATCCCAATTCTTGTGCATTATTCTAATGGTATTTCTAGTGTATTAATGGTCTTTTTTTTTTTAATTAAGTTTATTTATTTTGAGAAAGAGAGAGCATGAGTGGGGGAAAAGGCAGAGAGACAGAGAGGGAGACAGAGAATCCCAAGCAGGCTCCACCTTCAATGTGGAGCCTGACACAGGGCTCCATCTCATGACCTTGGGATCATGATCTGAGCTGAAGTCGGACACTCAATCAACTGAGCCACCCAGGCACCCTAGTGTATTAATGGTCTTAAGCTGTGTTCAGTTACTATTCTGCTATTCCGTTTATTTTAATTTGGGTTCTGTTGTTTGTTTATCAATTTCAGTGATCACATTCTTCTTTCCTCAACACTTTGCCACGCATAGGTAACATGGCATCAGCTCCTGTTTACTACTGTGGACTCCTGTTGAATTTTTTCTTTGATGCTTCTTTATTTCAGGTGTATTGAAGGTCTTATTTTTTGTTTTCAAGAGCAGCACTATATTTATTAGTATTTTTATGTTATTTTGTTTGTATTTTATGTTATTTATCATTTAGGGTGGTTGTTAACAGCATGGACTCTGGAGGCAGAGGGCCAAGTTTCAAAGCCAGTTTCTTCCTCTTCAACAAGTGATTCGAACTCCTTGTGTCCCATTATCTTCACTTGTGATCATCATCATAATAATTATCTCATAAGTTTCGGTGAGGATTACAAGAGATAATGTATGTCAGAATGCCTGGCATATGAAGAGTGCTGGCGAATACAGGCTGCTGATAATTACAGTAGTGGTGGTAGTATGTTAGCTGGCATGACGCGATCGGGTGTGAGAGATTTTGTCGCGTGTTTGTCATCTGCCACACCACCCCAGCCATCCCTTATATAACTTTTTACATTCACAGTTGAATGTAAGAGACTTGAACAACTTACGGCTCCTCTTTCTTTTCTACAGATTGATCCTGAATTAGAAAAAAAGCTGAAAATGAATAAAGTGTCATTGGAATCAGAGTATGAGGTACATACGTTAATATGTATTGTATGTTAATACAGCCTCTCTTTTGTAACCGTCTTCCCAGTCAGTGACTGATTCGCTCTCTCTTAAAGTTAACGGAAATGATTACCAGTGCAGAAGAAAATTATTTACCTTAAACAGTATGGTATCGGGGCAACTAACTATGTAGTCATTTGGAAAGAAAATAAGGATTGATCTATATTTCATATACTATAAATGGATGAATTCTAGATGGAACAAGAATTTAAAAGTAAAAAAGCAATGCTAAAAATACTAGGAGAAAAAAAAATGGAGATTCTTTTCTGTGGTCTTGAGTCAGAAAAGCTGATTTAAATGTGATACAAAATTCCAAAGCTTTACAGGGAAAGATTGATGAGTTTATATATAAAAATTCAAAAGTTCAGGCTTAAAAAATGTATATAAAGTCACTGGTTAAATTAGACATCCTAAAACTGTTGTTTATCTTATCATGATGAATTAATTTAAATATGAAGAGCATCTGCAGATCAATACGGAAAAGTTTAACAATTTAGGTGGGCAGTAGGAACATGGGCAAAGCGTGTAAAGACTACAGAGAAAAGGAAATAAATATCATTCTTAGACATATAAAGAGGTACTAAACTTACAGGAATGTTAAAGTTATAATGAGGTGTCATTTTCCACCCATCTGATCAGAAACCAAAGTGTTTAATATAGGATGTGGTGAGGAGGGTGTGCTCCATTTCTTGGAGTCCGTTCGTTTTTTTGACTGTGGATCGTATTTTCCCATTTCTTTGTATGTTTGATCATTTTTGCTTGAAAGGTGAGCATTATAAATAATACATTGAAGAACGTTGACTCTCATTTTAGCAGGCACTTCAATTATTGGCTGATCACTTTGAGCTCGGTTTTGTCTTTTTGAGGGAGGATCTGTGGAAAGACTTTGGCGTTTCCTAAACTGCTGTAACCGTATGAGACTCATTCTCCAAATTGCCCCCCCAGAGGATCTTGTCAGAGCTTGGCCTTAAGCTCTGTTGGACTGAGTCTAACGCGGGTCTTTCTCTTGGCATGATCCTTATTTCTAAAGACTAGCTTTTGGTGCCTCAGCTGTATGCCACAGGAGCAACTCGGTGTTAAAGAGAGGTCCCACACCAGCAGGGCTGAAAATCAGTATTGACACTGCTTTCTTCTTGATTCCGTTCCGTACTCAGTTCTGTAGCAGTTGGTTAAGTGGTAAGCCGTAAGTGGTCTTGCCCACCACGTGTACGGTGTAGTCTTCAGTGACCGTACAGGTTTTGCAGAATTCCACAGAGACTCATTCACCAAAGATCTTTGAAGACTTGGAACCCTCTCGCGTGAAGTTGTTCTACCAACTTGCATCCCATCGAAGAATTATGCTTCAGTTCTCTTGAGCGTATATCTTACGTTATCTGGGTAGAGGCCATTATTCTTTCTTCAGACCTTTTTGTAACTGAATCATTTCATAACTAAACTTTAAAATAATTTACTCTCCTGCACCTTAAATTAGTACAATCTTGTTCATCCACATATATTTAATACAGACATCCTATAAGTGAAATTTAGAGAGTGGTTCAGTTCTCTGCTTCCCTACTAGTTTTTCAACACCTGTAACTTGCTCCTTCTCAGTCTATAAGCACTATGTCAGTAGTGATGGCTCTGGAGGGTTTGTCTGGGGATAAATTTTCCTTTACTTATTTTGGCAATCATAGAATTTGAGAACTGAAGAAACCATGTAGACCATTTGGTCAAGCCTTTTTATTATTACTTAGGAGGGAATAGTGCCCAGACAGCTTAAATCACTTGTCCAAGGTTATACAGCTTCTTTTTTATTTTTTATTTTTTAATGTTTATTTTTGACAGAGAGAGAGAGAGAGAGACAGTGTGAGTGGGGGACAGGCAGAGAGAAGGAGGGAAACGCAGAATCCAAAGCAGACTCCAGGCTCTGAGCTGTCAGCACAGAGCCTGATGTGGGGCTCGAAATCGTGAACTGCGAGATCGTGACCTGAGCCAAAGTCGGATGCTTGACTGACTGAGCCACCCAGGTGCCCCAGGGTTATACAGCTTCTTAGTAAAAGAGAAATGCTCCTTTTTATTTTTGTTACAAGGGTCCATGTAAATTTACGTCATTTTCCTTATCTTTGGATATAAGCTATTCTGTGTTCTGTGAGTCTCTTTTTCTATATTATTTCAGCAGTAATTCGAGAACAGGTAAAGCAGTTGTAGAAAACTTGTCAGAGTGGTGTTGAAGGGTGAAGAAACCTTTATATTCTTCCCTTTATCCTACCTCTGTGCTGAGAGATACTTCACACTCACTGAAGGTACAGCGATCCAGACTGGTTGAAACTAGTTTTACTGACTGAAAGGGATTGGCTCATGGCAGCTCTGGGGAATGTCTTTTCATTCTCTGGCTCAGGCTCATTTCTCATGTGCGGGACAAATCATCTTGGCCTTTTTCTTCCTTCTAGCAGGCATTAGGGTCTCTACCTTTGTTTTTCCCCTCTTACTACCATTACCCATGCTAACCCATGCTAGTCATTATTATGTTCGTTTAACCTTCGGAGTTGGATTTTTGTTTTCCCAGCTTCTTCCCTTTCTTTGTATTCTCAGAAATAAAGCATGTAGACCCTCTATAATTTGATAATTTTATTCTGATGGGGGGGGAAAGATAATCTAATTAACATGACTAGCAAGCGAGAAAACTTCCAAACCCTAAGAGATATGCCATTTCAATTATTATGCGTGATATGCAGTTGATTTGCTAAAATTGGATTTTTTCCACTCATTTATTCATTGATGAATCAGTGATGTCCTAATCAAAGCTACATGCCTCCTACACTAATATATATGCTTTAATTTTTGTGGCTTTATAGAAAATAAAGGACTCCACTTTTGATGACTGGAAGAATATTCGAGGACCCAGGCCTTGGGAAGATCCTGACCTCCTCCAAGGACGAAATCCAGAAATCTTTAAGACTAAGACTAAGACAACCTAAGTGGATTCTTTCTTTCTTTCTTTTTTTCTTTTTGACAAAAATGCCATCCACTGGAATTCTTGCTACATATTCAGTGGGAAGAAAATCTCAGACCTGCAGAAGCCTGGATGCGAGCAATGTGATGACAGATACTTTTGATAAAAGTCAAAGTAACATCACACAGTGATTTTATGTCAAACCTATGTAGAAAAATAATACTGATCACAGGCTGATAAGAGTTTTGGTTTTGCTTATAATACTACTAATCAGTCTCCAAAGTCTTAACCTGATGATTGCATTGATACCATCAGAACATGTTAAGAAAATACCTCTCCAGACTGAGAGAAAATATTTGTCGACCACATATCTGCTAAAAGACTCATATCTAGAATATATAAAGAGCTCCAAAAACTCAATTGTAAAAAAGCAAACAATCCAATCAGAAAATGGTCAAAAGACATAAAGTGACATTTCACTGGAGAGGGTATATGAATGGCAAACAGGCACCTGAAAAGAATGATTGACATCACTAGTCATTAGGGAAATACAAATTTAGACTACACTGAGAAATCACTACACATTTATTAGAACAGCTAAAATAAAAAAGGGACAATTCCAAATGCTGGCAAAGATGTGGAGAAACTAGATCTCAAACACATTGCTGGTATAATGTAAAATGGTACAAGTGGTCTGGAAAATTCTTTGGCAGTTTCTTTAAAAACTGCATAGGGGACTTCAGTTTCCGGTCCAACAGATAGGAACCTTGGAAGTCACACCTGCCATCCTCACACAAAGGATAAGCTGAAAAAACTGAAAATCAACAACTATTCTTTGATCCATGAGAGAATTGAGGACACAGAACAAAACCACCACTGGAAAATTTGAGACACGCAAATACAGAGGATCACAGGTTACCTGGAGGAGAAACCACCTGGAAGCCACATCAGGTAGGAATGCTTAAAGGGCAATTGCCTAATTACTGGAGACTGAGCATGGACTAATTTGAGTTAACAACTCCTAGAGACGAGGCCAGGGGCACACTTTTATGAGGTTTACTTCCTGGGGCCCCACCAGGTTCTTACAGTGAATATTAGAGGAAAATCTTGTGATTTCAGTAGGGGGAGGAAAAATTATTCTGAAATATGTCCCCTAAATTTTGTTCTCTTTAACAAAAGCCTGGCCTCAAAGGAGACTTGCTAGAGACTAATCACACTGGATTTTACCAAAGTCTTACCAACTCTGGGGTAAGGGAAATACCCAACATCAGCCCCTTCTAGCCTTCCTGTTCACCTAAATGGGGTGAGGATGTGGGGAGGAAGACTGAAAAGTAGTCGTGAAGGTCATGTGGGACCACGATGACTAGAAGACTGAGACCTAATCATAAGATTATAGAATGTTCCCTTCCCCCTTCACATTACCACCACATCCCTAAAGGCTCTTCACTGGAGTTTCTTTTACCCAGTCCAACTGGATATCATGTCCAACTTTGAACAAAGAAACTACAAGGCATACTAAAATACAAAAGGCACAGTTTGAAAAGGCCAAGCATTATAATCAGATTCATATATGGTAGGAATATTGGATTTATCAGATCGATACTTTAAAATAACTATAATTAAGATGTTTAGAGTTCTGATGGGAAAAATACACAACATGCAAGAACAGATGGGTAATGTAAGCAGTGAGATGGAAGTTTTAAGAATTAAAGGGAAATTCTAGAAATCAAAAACTGTGTAACAGAAATGCCTTTGATGGAGTCATCAATAGAATAGACATGACTAAAGAAAAAAAAAAAAAGAATAAACATGACTGAGGAAAGAGAGAGGGAAATGATACCAGAAAGTAATTAAATCCATAAGAAATGACAAAAGAGCACTGATAAAGGTAATTGGGTAATTATTTTTTACGAAGTACAACTACAGGGGCACCTGGGTGGCTCAGTTGCTTAAGTATCCGACTGTTGATTTTGGCTCAGGTCATGATCTCACGGTTTGTGAGTCCGAGCCCCACATCAGACTCTGTACTGACAGCATGGAGCCTGCTTGGGATTCTCTTTCTTTCTTTCTCTCTGCCCCTCCCACCTCTCAAAATAAATAAATAAACTTAAAAAAAAGTACAATTACAATTTTTCCCCTTCTTAATTTGTTTAAGAACAAGTAGAACCCTTTCTATAAAATGTATTTTGAGGTCTACATATAGAAATGTAATATATTAGACAATAATACAGTAAAAGAATGGAGTGGGAATGAAGCTTTATTGGGGCAAGGAAATGATACCAGATAACTGAATCCACATGAAGCAAAGAAGAGAACCAAACATGATAAATAAGAAGGCTAGTATTTAAGTTTATAAATAATTTTTTAAAACTTCTTCCAAATACATAGAAGAGCATAAATCAATAATTATAACATTTGTTGGGTTTGTGAAATGCATAGCTATAATATGTATAAAAATAATAGCACCAAGAAAGTAGGGAAAGATCAGGGTAAATAGGAAGAAAGTTTTTATATCTTACTGGAATTAAGTTAGTATAAATCTAAAGTAGATTCTGGTAAGTAATATGTATATTGTAAGCCCTAGAGTAAGCTTTAAGAAAATCACTCAAAAATGTAGTTAAAAATCATAAAAGGTATTAAATGTTACACTAGAAAATATCTGCCTAATACAAAAGAAACAAATACAAAAGACAGGTAGAAAATAGTAAAAATAGACGAAAGGGTACTTATCAATTTACATTAATGAAATTTTTTTTAATGTTTATTTTTGAGAGAGAGAGAGCATGGGCGGGGGGGGGGAGGGGGAGGGGGGCAGATAGAGAGGGAGACACAGAATCCGAAGCAGGTTCCAGGCTCTGAGTTGTCAGCACAGAGCCTGATGTGGGGCTCGAACCCACAAACCGTGAAATCATGACCTGAGCTGAAGTTGGATGCTTAACCGACTGAGCCATCCAGGTGCCCCATCAATTTACATTAAGTATAAAATAATTATATTCACAAATTTAAAAGCAGAGATTGACAGAATGGATAAAAAAACATGATCCAGTTGTATGCTGTCTACAAGAGGCTCACTTTAGATTCAGAGAAACTGTAAGTTCAGAGTATAAGGATGGAAAAATGTATACCATGCAAATAGTAACCAAAGAGAGCTGCTTTGGCTGTCTAATATCAGAAAAAGTATACTTTGAGGCAAAAATTATTCCAAGAGACAAAGAAGAACATTTTATAATGATAAATGGTCAATAGTCAAGATATAACGATTATAAAACATATATACAACTAACAACACATTCCAATAATATAAAAAGCAAAAATGTAGAAAAAGGCAATTTTATAATTACAGTGGGAGACCTAAGTACTCCACCTTTAATAATGGATAGAACAACTAGGCAGAAGACCATCTATCTATGTTAATAGAAAACTTGAACAACACTGTAAACCAACTTGACCTGACATCTATGGATTACCCAACGAGAGAAGAAGACATTCTTTTCAGGTGCGCATGAAACATTCTCCAGGATAAACATTTTGCCATAAAACAAGCCTCAATAAATTTAAAAGGATTTCAGTCATACTAATTTCAAACATGTTCTAGGACTGTAAGAAATCAACTATAGAGAAAATTTTGGAAATTTACATGTATATGAAAATGAAGTGTAATTGAATGTCCCAACTGGTTGGAGAAGAAATCAAAACGGAAATAATAAATACTTTGAGGTGAATCCAAATGAAGATACAACATACCAAAACTATGGGATGCTTCAAAACAGCACTTAGATTGAAATGTGTAGCTATAGACACCTATGTCAAGAAAAGATCTCAAATTAGTGACTTAACCTTTCACCTTAACAACTTGAAAAAGAAGAGCGAACAAAACCTAAAGCAAACAGAAAGTAAATAAAGATTAGAAAGAAGTAAACGGAAGAGAACAGAAACACAATAGAGAAATCCATGAAACCAAAGGTTCTTTTTTTTTTAAGAGCAACAAAATTGACAAGCCTTTAGATTGATTAAAATAAAACAAGAAACAAGACTCAAATTATTAAAGTCAGGAATGTAAGGGGGACATTACTAGCAACCTTACAGAAATTAAAAGTTAAAAAAACTTTAAGGGAATGCTATAAGCAATTCTATGCCAATGAGTTAGGTAATTTAGGTTAAATAAACAAATTCCTAGAAAGACACAAACTACCAAAACTGATTCAAGAAGGAATATAAATCTGAATAGACCTATAACAAGGTACTGAATTGGTTTTTTAAAAAAATACCCACAAAGAAAAACCCAGACCCGGATGGCTTTGTTGTGAATTCTACCAAATATTCAAAAGAAGAACAAATGCCAATTCTTTACAAACGTTCCCAAAAAAGTAGAAGAGAATGGAACATTTCCTAACTCATTTTATGAAACTAGTGTCCTGATAAAAATACCAGGCAAAGACATAACAAGAAAGTTAACTGACCAATACCTCCTGTGAATGTAGATGTAAAAACTCTCAACAAAATATGAGCATGCGAATCCAGTAACACAGTTATACATCATGATCAAGTGAGGTTTATCTCAGGAATGCAAGATTGACAACGTTAAAAAATTAGTACGTAATACCACATCACTAGAATTAAGAGTAAAAACCACATAATCCTATCAACATGCAGAAAACCACTTGACAGAAAATAAGCTCTTTTCTGCCACAGGGAACTAGTGAGGAACCATAGTGAGGAACGTTACATTCTATAATTTAAATATATACGTATAGTCTTGGGAAAAATATTTACTTGGTGGCCCTGTTTCCTCATGTGGAAAATGGGAATAACAGTAGCAACATCATAGAGTTGACGTGTTAGTTATGTAAAGCTTAGAACAATGGCATAGAGAAAGTACTCGACAGATGTTAGCTATTAAATAGGTAACAATTATTAGTAATAACGAAGTTCTTCACAAAATGTCACATCTAAAACAGTATTTTAATAACATTGCACAGACATCTATCAGTAACAGTCCTGTGTGGAAAGATCTGCATGATCTGTGTCCCTTCTGCACACAGCAAAGTTCAGTGGGAAAATACACAAACTGATAGACTTGAACTGGAATCTTGTCAGTTTGTCAGATTACAAACATGACAAACAGATTACAAATCTTACACAGATTACATAACCCACTTCAGTCTCCGTTAACTTGCCTGTGAATTGGGAGTTTTGTAGTTGTCTCAGCCAGTTAACCTAGTGAAGTATGCGAGGCACTCAGTAGAGAAACAGGCAGAGAAGATAGGTGATAAGGGAGTGGTTGGTACTATCATTGGCCAGTAGATGAAAAATGGTTTGCTTACAGATGATAGACATTCTGTCTGAAGTCATGGCTTCAAATAATTCATTAAAAACTTTTTTTTTTTTAACTGGTTTTCTGCCTTTTGACCCTTAAACAATGTTTAAACCTTCTAGATGCCTCAGCAAATGATAGAGGGAAAGTGGACGACTGATTTCTGCAGTGGGATTTTTTAGACTGTTAGAGTGGAGACTAGATTTGAGGACGACAGGGTTGAGAGGCATGAGACGTCTGTGATGCTCCCATCCAGCATCCCGGTGTGAGAAAGCCTTAGAGTCACTGCCTAACTCCAGCAGAGGGCGTGCTAAGACCACACAAGACTGAATTTGGCAGCTCTGACTCAGTGAAGCCCAGCCCCGGCGGCGGCGTAGGGCTGCTCTCTCTACGGAGGTCCCATAATCCTGAATCCTGACTGTTCTCCCTCTGCATTCTACCTTTAGATCCCGTGGGGCCAGGAGATTACAGGCTGGGCGAATCGCCTCGGCCGCCTCAGCTACTTGTGTCCTCTGTGTGCAGAGTTGGCTCCCCAAGGACCTGCTGATGCCTTCAGCGCATCAGAACCACATAAACCCTGCACTCCACAACCAGGAGTCCTAACAAAGCACAGACGAGAAAATCTTCCACATCTGGTGTTCTGAGGAGCTGCCAACCAGCTGGGCTCTACTCCCTTTCTACAGCTATTCCCTCTGCCTTCATGCTTTGTGCTCCGCTTTCTCCTATTTTTTTCTCACCTCCCTTTTCTTGCCAACATAAACCTTGACACCAGAAACCAGGGCTCCTGAGCATCAGATGCCTGCAGGCAGTAATAATCAAAGCTTCCTGCTGGGCCGTTGCACCTGCTGCTTCACAAACATCCTGCTCCCCACAGACACATGTACACATACCCAGACGCACATGGTGGGCACCTGAGTGGGGAGGGACCATCTGGGACAGTGGCCCTGGCAGGTAGCTCTGAGGTCTGCCCTCAGCAGCATGAGTCACCAGTCCATGTCATCGCCGGGGTCCTGTGCCATAAAGGGATGATGTCCTTGCACATCACCTTTTCCTTGATCTAGAGAATTTCTTCTGGGCAAATCAAGTTTTCCTCAGGCATTGAGGAACAAGAAAAGAAACTCCCAAATCCTACACTGGACACCGTGTGTGAGAAAACCCTACTTTCAGAAATCCCAGCTCTTCACCAACAAAGGCCCAGCAGGGAGGTTCTTCAGGCTTGTTTGGTGATTTTTGTGGGAAGGGCCTGGGCGAGCAGACTAAGTATATTGGGAAGCACACAGGGAAAACATCTTGAAAAAGTGGTGTAAAGGTGTCCACTCCTAAGCAGTTCCTTGGACTTTACAATATTGTGAAGGCCCCAAGGGCAGCCTTCTGTCCCCTGCTTCTTTCCCATTAAGGAAATCAAGAAGCACCACAGTTGTCTTGTTCCCTCTTTCCCCCTTTTCCTTTGCTAATTGCTTTTACCATGATCTTTCTTTTAAGTTCTGGTATGTAAAGGTCAGAGAAGCCCATAGATAGCCAAGTGCCAATCCATGCACTCAGGCCACAGTTGGCCCCCGAAAATAACATCTACTCTTTGCTAGAAAAAAATCTAGACGCTTCATCAGTTTATGCCAGCTAAAAGCCTCCGTTTCTCCTACAATTGATGTAGGGCCTGCATTTATTAAGGTGTCAGAATAAGAGAATGTGAAATTTTCTCAAAAGATCACCCATCTTTGAATAAGATCCTTATTTTACAGAAGAGGAATATGAAGCCAGAGGAAAAGAGACGAGTTGCCCAAGGTCACCCAGGTGATTTAGTAGATGATTCTGGGCTGAACTTTAGTTATCCTGACTACCAATTGAACAAACCCTCCTGTTCACTCGCAGTTCAAAGGGTCGGGTAGGGACCATTATTTTTTTCTAAAGGTCATAAAGCCAGCATATCTCCATTTGTGACTATGTGTGAGGACACAAGCTCCTGAGAGCAGGGACACAGTTTTTGACATTTGTAACAGTGCTAGGTGAACACATGCTAAAAAATGTTTATTCAATGAAGAATGTTAAAACAGGCTCCACTTGGTATAGTTCAGGCTCCTCTAGTGGGCAGCACAGAGCCAGAAGCTTTAAAACAGCTCAGTTCTTTGGCTCACCCCAGCTGCTGCTTCTTCCAAACCAAGGGAGAAAGTGTTTTTGAACGAACGAAGTGTGCCACAGAACTCCTTCACAGCACCAACTTGATAAAGGGACCGGCAGAGAAGACTTTTATTAAAATCACTTACATCATCATTCGTTCATTGAACACTTATGAAGCACTTGCCATACACTAGAGACTTGTATAGATGTTGGAGATTCAAATAGTAGTACTCTCCTCTTTTCATGTTGCTTATATCCTTACATGCGTTGATCCTTGAACAATATGGGTTTGAACTGTGTGGGTCCACTTCTATGCTGATTTTTTACAGTACAGTACTGTAAATATTTTCTCATGACTTTCTTAACATTTTCTTTATTGTAAGAATGCAGTATATAATACACATATAAAATATGCGTTAATTGACTTTATGTTATTGGTAAGGCTTCCAGTCAACAGTAGGCTATTGATAGTTCAGTTTTTTTGTGGGGGAGGGGTGGCAAAAGTTACATGCAGATTTTCAACTACATGGGGTCAGCACCCCTAAGCCCCCGTGTTGTTCAAAGGTCAGCTGTATAGTGAAGGCACTCTTTATACATTAAAAATAATAGACTGTGATGAGTACTTTGTGATATATAGGAGTCCCAGGTGCTGAGGAGGGATTAATTCAACACTGCCTGTGGCGTCTAGAGGCTTCCTGAACCTGGTTTCCCTGGAGGTGCACTTTGTAGTTGTGGAAGTTCACAGAATACTCCGGGAATGCTGTCTCCTCTAGACGGAGTATGGAGTAAATAGGAGATACAGGCAGGAAGGCAGCCTTTGACCTCAAAGTTGTAGTACAAAAGGCTTGATTGATATTCCTTGCTAAGAAAATCAGGATGAACACTGCAGGCAAGGGCAGAAGAATCCCACCATCTTTTGTATCTTAAATAACGTTCAGCATTGTCAAAGATGGACTTGAAAATCACAATGAAGTTTCTTTCCTCTCCCCCACCCCATATTTGACCCTGTAGTCCTGTGAACATGAGTGTTACTGGAGCAGCCCTAAAAGCAGGAGTTCAGGACTTTCTCCTCTGGTGACCACTTAAGGGCTACTTTAATAGGTGGGAAGATAAAGGGTTAAACCAGGGACATTTCAGTGGCAAAACAGAAGCAAGGACAGATGGGAAGATTTCAGGGATAGCGTGGGAAATGTTATTCCGTGCCACTTGCGCTCTATTATGTCATCTCAAACAGTACTTGATAGGTGAGGCTTTCTCTGACACCCTGGCAAATGGGACACGTGGGGGCTGCTTCCTAAGCTACCGAAAGCACATGTTCGTGTGCCTGTTGGACTGCCAGCCTTGGTATCTTCTCATCTCTGTTCCGTTGGCCTTCCGATGACCCACAGAAAGGTGTGCTGGAGGGTTACTGAAGGAGAAAACAGACACTCATAGGTGACTGGATTACAGCCATCTGGCAGTAAAAGCACTACCACCGAAAGCTCAATGATAGCAAGATACTACACGGATTACCATTCGATCTAACCTTTCATAGCACTTAAAAATTTTTACTTTTTAAATGAAGCCGGCAAGCTCTCCATCCCACAAGTATCCACGGAGGCTATGTGCAAGGGAGTGTTCTAAGAATTAGCCTGGGGTATGTTAAGTATCCTTTCCAGATCAGTTTGAACGCGACAGCGAACGCAATTCCGGTCTCTAAATCCCAATTGCGGGCCAAGGCGCCGGAACCAAAGCGTTGCCGCTTCATTTCCGGGCGGGAGGCGCCAGTTTGTGGCGAGGGATCGATTGCTTTTGCCTGGCGGGGGTCGGTCCGGAGAAGACGGCGAGCTCGGCGGCTGCGGGCCGGCCTGGCGGTGTACCGCGTCCTCGTCGCGGAGGAGCCCGAGCTGCTGAGATCCGGGAGGCGCGCTGGGCCCGCGTCGGACGGCTCGGTCGTGTTTGCACACGCGCTGGTGCGAGGCCCCTTGTTGGTGATGGAGGTGGTGAGGTGAGAGCAGAGAGACGTGAGGAAGAGGTGGGCGGGCGGATGCAGGGAACAGGTGTCGCAGCGGGCGGAAGAGCCGGGCCCTGGCGCTCGAGGGCTGGTCCGGGGAGTCGGAGTTTTAAGGCAGCCCGCGTCGAGGGTGACCCTTGTCGGAGGTAACAAAATTAACGTACGTCAGAGCCAGATTTTAACCCCGGTGTGGGTACTTGCCAAGCCTGCGGACTGCGGTCACGGGGGACTCGATGCGGTTGCTTAATAATGCGATTTTCGGCCTCTCCCTGCGTCAGTCTCCTGGTTTGTGAAATGGACTTGATTCGTATTTCACGTAGCTGACCAAAGGATGTATGAAGCATTCAGCCCAACATCTGCCAAATGGTAGGGATTCCCAAAGCGATGGCTGTGTTGTTCTTTGTGTCAGTACTGCTCACATGATACTCTTTTGTGTTCTGTGTTCCCTTCTACGCCGAGTGCCCTGAGAATGAGGACTTTGTTCCATTGCTCCAGGGAGTGCAAGTTGACATTGGTATAACGATGGAACGATTAGGCCTTGGAACCAGTTAGACCTCAGTTGGAATCCACACCACTCCTTTGATTTGCTGCGTGACCTTGTGCAGGTTGTTTTTCGTGGCCGCCTTGTCCATAAACACAATAATTTGGATAAAGCTGTGGGCGGCGAGGTAGGCCTTCCAATCGGAGTTAAGTCCAATTACACTAATTAGGCCGTGGACAAAGGCCATTTAATTGTAAACACAACATGGTGTGCGTTTGGGAAGGATTATAAAATTATAAAATCTTTGGTCGTGTGTCAAATATACTAATTAACCTGTTGGCATAGTTGGAGTCAGGCAGACAGAAAATATTAGATTGAGTGCTCATAAGCGTAGCAAAATTACTGGAATGAACTCAAGTCATGCATCCACTTTTCCTTGTAGCAATATTATGTAAAGAGCAGCATGTTATTACATAAAGCCCATAATTACTATAACATCTTCAAGGTAGATTATATCCTCTGATAAATGTTGCTAATCTTTATGGAACAACATTCAGAAGAGGGTTTTAAAGTACCAGGGACACACTAATAATTTTCTCCTTTCCTTCTCAGATAATGCTCTTGAAAACATACGGATTTTGGTGCTTCAGCTTCTCTGTTCCTCAGTTTCCCTTGCTGAGATCATCAGTGACCTGCTACTTTCCAAATCTAGTATTTTCTCATCTGTAGCCAACCTGTTAGCTGCATTAGTTCTATCTGCAACCTTAATTCCTTTTTGCTGTGTAGGAAAATATATGCACAATTTCCAGTGATTAGAATGTGGATATCTTTGGGAGTGGTGGGGGATCATCCTTCTTACCACAAGAATATTTTTTTATTGTTTTGGGGAAGTCCTATCTAAGTGTGACAGGAAAAAAGGTAGAAATATCTCACAAATAAGGATCAACATTATCATCATAATCTTCCATTAAAAAAATAAGACATCTTAAATATGTTTGAAAAGCAAATGATAAGCTTTTACATATACATTATCATATACATCATCTCCCTAAGATAGTTAAGGAGCACCTGGGTGGCTCAGTCGGTTGAGCGTCTGACTTCGGCTCAGGTCATGAACTAGCAGTTAATGGGTTTGAGTCCCATGTTGGGCTCTGTGCTGACAGCTCAGAGCCTGGAGCCTACTTCCGATTCTGTGTCTCCCCCTCTCTCTCTCTTTGCCCCTCCCCTGCTCGCGCTCTCTCTCTCTCTCTCTCTCAAAAATAAATAAACATTTTAAAAAACCTTTTTAAATTGTTAAATAATGATATAAAACTTATCCACAAGGTACCACTGGACACTTAAATTCTCTTCAAACTTAATGAAATATGAGTCAGTGAGAATTTAAATAATATTTTCTATGTGTTGGATTGTCAGAGATTAAAACATTTGATAATGCATAATTAGTGAAATGATTAGTGAAGATGTCTACAAATATGTGCATTCACTGTTGGTATTAATAAATTTGAGATGAATTTGATACATTTATCAAAATTTAAAATGGGTATGCCTTTTGACCTCACATTTCCGCCTCTGCAAAGTTAATATTTATCAGATGTTCTTTACAGTGTTATTTGTAATTTTGAAGAAACGAAAAAAGGAGGTAGTTTATTTATCTAAAAGAAAGCTTTGGCCTTTGTTTATTTATATCTATGTGTTAGGATGATATCACTTTAAAAAATTTGGGGCGCCTGGGTGGCGCAGTCGGTTAAGCGTCCGACTTCAGCCAGGTCACGATCTCGCGGTCCGTGAGTTCGAGCCCCGCGTCAGGCTCTGGGCTGATGGCTCGGAGCCTGGAGCCTGTTTCCGATTCTGTGTCTCCCTCTCTCTCTGCCCCTCGCCCGTTCATGCTCTGTCTCTCTCTGTCCCAAAAATAAATAAACGTTGAAAAAAAAATTAAAAAAAAAAAATATATATATGGGGAGAGGACTTCTAGTTCTGACCAAGACGGAGCGTGAGTGCCCCCTGGTACTCCCTCTGAACAACTAAAATCCCCGGACATAATATAGCAGACAATTATAGAAGGACTTAAACGGGAAAAGAAGATACCAGGCTGCCTAGGAACCTCATAAAACTCAGTTAAGCAATGAGATGAAGTGGTTTCCTGGCTTTGGGATAACGGATATTTCCCTCATTTCTTATTGCTGACAGATCTTTTGGCAAATAGCGAAGTGTATTAAAAAAAAAAAAGTCCTTGGGGTGCCTGGGTCGTTCAGTCGGTTGAGTGTCTTACTCTTGATTTTGGCTCAGGCCATGATCTCAGGGTCAAGCCCCATGTCGGGCCTCCCTAAGCATGGAGCCTACGACTCCATGAGATTCATATTCTCTCTCTCTCTCTTTGTCTCTCAGCAACAACAACAAAAAGGAGTTCTTTATGGTGAAGTCAGACCATCCTAGGCCTCTTGGGAGTTACTCCTTCCTTTTTGGAATGAATGCCCTATGGGCAGGATGGTTGAAAACCAGAGGGTAGTCCCTGCAGAGTCCTGTGCTTCTGAAGAAACACTCTTATTATGAAAGCTGTATCGAAGCAGGTGAGAAATATAATAATTTTTATTAACAAGTCTAATCTACTTGAAAGGCACTGACATAGAGGTTGTTGGGACCCTTGGCTCACATAGCAGTTTCTGAAGAAATCCTTTTGTTATTATTTATTTTTATTTTTATTTTTTGAAGAAATCCTTTTGAAAAGCAGTGGAATTTAAATCGCTCAGACCATGGTAAGGGGTATGGGGACTTTGGAAAAGAAGAATATGTGAAACAGATCATGGTCTTCTCAAGCAGGGCATTACAGGGCAAGGAAGAGGAGGGCTGGGGTGGTCACAGTGGAATCTATCTTTCTGGGTCCTTTTATTCATTTGTATCATCTGCTCAGTCTTTGGAAATAGTATAATTCACTTTGGCATCAGTAAACCTCTACTTTCCAGTTCTACAGGATTTCTAGCTCAGTGTTTGAAAAGAGATCGAATTCCTTGTCAATTCCTTGACAAAGCCAGGTTTCTCCAAAACGTCATGCCCTTGTCTTGCCCTCCCTTCCTCAGCTTTCCGCACTCTCTATTTCCATCCATTTCCCTGCGGGTCTTCCTGTTTAGCAGCAGCAGCAACACTGTAATACCAGTGCCCAGAATCCAGTGTTGGTGAGTGAGATCTGTGATACAGTCTGCAGTGCCTGGGCCTGTCAGCAGCAACGCCCATATCTGCCCTGGACCATCTGTGGAGCCAGGTTTGTTCTGGCCTCAGAGTGACTGTGGTTGGCTCTCTGACCTTCCCAGATTGTGCGAGCAGCTTAGATCACTAAGAATCTGTTTCACACTTGAAAGCAGTAACCTAGACTGATATGAACGTTTATAAAGCATCTGCTAGCTGACAGGATCTGGTGCTGCAGAAATGACCAAGGAGTTTACAGTGGAGTGGGGGAAAACCGACAACTAAAGAAATAACTACAGGGCTTCCACAGTCAATAGTGATAGACCAGGTAATTCAAATCAAACTCTGAGAAAACCAGAAAATCTAGGTCGATTTTACAATAGAAAATCTACTTGAGGCATACACGATATAATAAGATAAAGGATTATCAGGCTGTGAATGGAGAGAAGAAAGGAATCCAGAGAGCTGAGTATGGAATTTGGTGTTGTTTTTCCCCTGGGAGTATTTCTGCCATAGGCTGAATGTTCGTATCTCCCCCCCAAATTCACGTTGAAACCTAATCCTCACGTGATCATGGTCTTTGGAGGTGGGGCCTTTGGGAGGTGGTTAGGTCATGAGGGTGGAGCCCTCATGAATGGGATCAGTGCCCTTATAAAAGCCCCACAGGGGCGCCTGGGTGGCTCAGTCGGTTAAGCGTCCGACTTTGGCTCAGGCCATGATCTCACAGTTGGTGGGTTCGAGCCCTGGGTTGGGTTCTATATGAACAGTTCAGAGCCTGGAGCCTGCTTCAGATTCTGTGTGTGTGTCTCTCTCTTTCTGTCTCTCTCTGCCCCTCTCCCGCTCATACTCTGACTCTCTCTCTCTCATAAATAATAAATATACGTTAAAAAAATTAAATAAAAAATTTAAAAAACATTATCTCAGGGTGCCTGGGTGGCTCAGTCAGCTAAGCATCCGACTCTACGCTAACAGCACAGAGCCTGCTTGGGATTCTCTGTCTCCCTCTTTCTCTGCCCGCCGCTCACGCTTTCTCTTTCAAAAATAAATAAACTTAAACACACACACACACACACACACACACACACACACACACACACACTGTCTCAGTCCCTGAATTTGGATCAAGGTATTTTGGATTACTGTTGCCTCTAGCCACTGGCGGGAAAAGAAAAAGTGAAATTCTTTCTGGAGAACGTTAACACTGTTAGGTCACAGATTAATTCTAATTTTGGAAATGTAATGTTAGATAAAATTTGAAAAGAAATAACTAGGCACACAAAGAGACAAGGTAACATGAAACATAAACAAAAACCAGCAGAAACAACAAGTATTAGGTTCACGAGGACTGTAGCTGTTGGAGTTACCAGCCAGAGACTTAGAAAACTGTGTGAATGGGTTTAAGATGATAAAAGTCAAGATTTTTAATTTTGGCAGAGAACTGGAACTATCAAAGACATAGTAGATTTGAAAAAGAGCCAAAAGATACCGTAATATGGAAAAATAGTAACAAATACTTAAAACTTAGTGGGTAAAATAATGAGAAACCAAGCACAACTGAGCAGAGAATTACCGAACGGAAAGAAAGTCCTGAAAAAAATATCCCGAATAAAACATGGAGACCCAAAATGATGAAAAATAGTGGTGAGAAGGTAAAATACAAAGAGGATGCCACGAGAATGTCTAATCTACGTATAACTGTTAAAGGCGAGTGGAAGGAGTGGAAGAATGAGTCTCGCAGACAACAGAGAGTGAACAAAGCGATAGAGTTTATCGAGGGAAAGTATAAAGCTCTCGAGGGTGAGAGAGGTCCTGACTGGGTAGCCGTCAAGGATTTTTGTCCCTGACCTTATCAGAGAGTTTGTGAGGCTCCACTCATGGCGCCTAGCCCAGGCAGGTCTGGAATATGCCACTTCTTCAGCCTCCCACTTGCACCTGCAGTCTGCCTCCCCGAGGCTCCCTTATCTCTCCTCGCCTAATGTTAACCCTTTCCCTATTCAGAACCGAAGTTCTGGAAAGCAAGTCCAAAGTGAATGGGGCAGAAGCTACGTTTGAAAAAACCAATGGTTAAGAATTTGCCAAATCTCACGAAAGACATCAAGCGGCCAATTCAAGAATTGTTACAAACTACGTACAGAATAGTAATAGCAGTAATAGTCCTAAGTGCATATCACAAACAATTTGCTGAAAACCAATGATAAGGAAAATAACTATAAAAACAGTGAGGGAATATCTTTAGGTTGTCTAGCTACCAATAGTACTAAAAATGGAGGGAAAAATTTTTCTTCTGATGCCAGATTATAAGAAAACCTACAACAAATGTCAGGCTTAATTGCGAAATGTTGCAGTCATTCCCTTTGAGATTAGATCAAGGATTCCCACACTATCCCTACCACTTATATTCAACAATGTACTGGAAGTCCTAGCCAATCCAGTAAAGCAAGAAAATGAAAATAATTGTTAAAAGATCGGAAAGAAAATTTTAAATGTCATTATTTGAATGTGATTGTGTGAAAAATCCAAAAAGCTCCACAAATGAGTTTTTAGAATTAATGAGTTTAACAGGTTTGCATTTCAAGATCAAAAGACAAAAATCAATTGTATTTCTTTTTTTTTTTTTTTTTTTAATTTTTTTTTTTAACCTTTTTTTATTTTTGGGACACAGAGAGACAGAGCATGCACGGGGGAGGGGCAGAGAGAGAGGGAGACACAGAATCGGAAACAGGCTCCAGGCTCTGAGCCATCAGCCCAGAGCCCGACGCGGGGCTCGAACTCCCGGACCGCGACATAGTGACCTGGCTGAAGTCGGACGCTTAACCGACTGCGCCACCCAGGTGCCCCCAGTTGTATTTCTATATACCAGGCTAAAAAAAAGAAAGTTAGTTTTAGAAACAATACCATATATATTAGCATAAAAATACCCAGTATTTTGCATCAAATAAAAGGCATTCAAGAACTAAAATAGAAAATATTATTGAGGCTAAAAAGTGACCTAAAATAAATGTATGATGTACCTACCATTTCATGGATTATAGGATTCGAAATCATACAGATATCTCAATCCAGCATGATCTATAAATTCAATGTACACTGGTGACATTCCCAGCAACTATTTTGTGAAATTTGAGAAGATAATTCTGAAGTTTATGATGGAAATTCAAAGGGCTGAGATTTGCCCAAGACGGTAATTAAGGTATATGTGCAAGGATAGACAAATAGCCAAGGTCAAAAAATAATGCAGATTACGGGGAGAAGACCCATACATATCAATACCTGATTTATGAAAACAATTAAAAACATAGAGCACAAGGTAAAGGAAGAACTTCTAGGTATATAGTGCTAAGACAACGAAATGTGCACGTGGCAAAAAAAAAAAAAAATGATTCCTATCCTATTACCACATAAAATCAGTATTTCATTAGCTATACATCTCCATGTAAGGGATTATTAAAATTTTAGGTAATATTAGATAATATATTAGTTAAGAGCAGAAAAATAATGTTTTAAGTGTATTTATTTTTGAGAGAGAGTCAGCGCATATGTGAGGTGGGGAGAGGCAGGGAGAGAGAGAATCCCAAGCAAGCTTTGCACTGTCAGCACAGAGCCCTACATGGGGCTTGAACCCACAAACCGTGAGATCGAGACCTGAGCTGAAATCAAGAGTCCGATGCCTAACTGGCTGAAACACCTAGGTGCCCCTAGAAAAATAATTATTAAATAGGATATATATATAAATAGTTATAAATAATATAAATATTAAATAGGATATATATATAAAACAGTTTACTATAAAGGAAAATATTGATAAATTGGGTAATACCAAAATGAAGAACTTAGGTTCATCAAAAGATAACTTTAAGAAAGAAAAAAGACAAGCTTTAAACTGGGAGAAGATATTTGCTACACATAAAGTCAATAAAGGGCTTGTGTCCACAATATAAAATGGACTTATGAATTATGAATCAAAAGTAGAAGGACAAAGCTTTCACAAAGGAGGATATCCAAATTGCCAATACAAATGTGAAAAGGGCTCAGCCTTATTAATCAGAGAAAGAAATGCAAATTAAAACCACAATGAGGTACCACTACACATGTAGCAGAATCGCTAAAATATTTTTTTAAAAGAGGAACATGGTAGGAATTGGCAAGGATGTGGAATAACTAAAAATCTCACACACTGCTGATGGGGTATAAATTGGCACAATCAATTTGGAAACAGAAACATGTGCCTGTGCATCAAGATACGTGAATGAGATTGTTCATCGCCGCATACTTCATAGCAGTAAAAAACTAGCATCAGCCAAAAACTCTATTATCAGTAGAATGAAAAACACATGAGGAAGGGTGAGGATGCTAACTGAGGCATATAGAGCTGGAGTAGAACATGAAA